ACATAGACGGAGAGCTGCAGCTGCTGTCATTGCTTTGTACAGGCTGAGCGACCGCAGCTGTCCAGAGGCACCTGTCAATCCTGCAGCAAAAATCTACAGATCCTTGCCATAGAAATCCACGTCTGGAGAGCGATACCTCGCATGAATGAGGCCTAAGAGATCATTACATTTCTCATTTATTTGTAAGCTATTCGTTATATTGTACTCCTACACAGCAACACCCAGAGAGGGAGGTGCAGCACTTGGAGCCAATCAGGTGTGCTGACACATGCTAACGGGAGGACAGAGCAGTAGTGATGAGCCTGGGCTTGGTTCACCTAATCTAATCAAAACTGTGTGGCAGCAGTTGCATGCCCCACCCCTTTGTGATGTGTAGCTGTGGGGCGGAGAATGCGCCTGCAGCAAGTGATTGAGCCGGGAGGAGGGTGTGGGTTGGATTTTTGAGTGGGCTTGGGTGGACCTAGACAAACAGGGGCTGCCCCAAGCCCATGTTCATCTCTACAGAGCAGAGTATGGATGTACTGCTGCTCCTTCAACGTCCAATCAGCAGGCTGGAGGAGTGCTTTGCTCAATGATTTGGCTGTGCTGTCTGGCAGGGGTACCTGTATCGCCATAATTCATTTATGGGGAATCAAAAGCTTGCATTTATGCAGCAGGAATCCTAGGAGGCTACAACACAGATGCTACCATTGTGCCCATTCAAGTGAATGGCAGGCTGACAGCATCTGCATCTATCCGTGGATATTACCTGTGGATGGGGGAATAGAGGCTTGTACCTTTAGGCAGACAGATTGCATCCAGGGACAATCATCTATCCCTATCTGCAGGTCAGGATAGATGCTTGCAGGGTGTGCGAGCCGTGCGGCCGCACAGGGCGCCATGGCAACAAGGGCGCCGTGCGGCCGTCACAGCTCGTCCTGTGGGCGGCTTCTCTCCCCATTTTTATGCTATTTTGGATTCAGCCATTGGCGTGTTCTGGAGGCAGGGTGCATGACGTCATATAACACCGCACGTGTTGGGCGCCGCCATCTTGGTGTATATCTAGGTATACACCAAGATGGTGGGGCCAATATCGGTGTGTGACGTCACCTGACGCCACGCATGCATGGCGTCATGTAACGTCATGCTCCCCGCCTCTATGGTGGTGGCACACATTCACAGAACACGCCGGGGGCCAACACGGCCTCCGCACATTCTCACACAAATTATTATTATTATGCGCCTGAATACATTTCTCGTATATTTTGGACATATAGTAATTCATTCATTTACATGTAGTCCGGGTTCTGTGTTCTGTTTTCTATTTTTATTTTTCTAGATATACTGACTTGAAAAAAGGATCGGCATGACAAACTGACACTTTATTTTTATAGACTATTGTATTTTGACATTTATTGTTTGCCTTCTGTTTTATTTGATAAGAATACTTCTATTGTGCCTACAAGTTTAATACCTTTGAATAAAAGTTTTATTTTTATCATACTTATTAATGTTTCTTTGCGGCTTAACAAAATAGGAGTCTTTAAATGGCGTGGATATTGGGGGAAATGGGTATGGTTACTGGGGGTGTGGCTGCGGAGGGGCGTGGCCACTGAGGGGCGCTGTAAAGCTTTCTCGCACAGGGCGCCTAAAGGCCTAAGGCCGGCCCTGGATGCTTGCAACAAAAGACTGTCAGAGACTGCTCACATGCTACAATAGACTGTCAGACGATTAGCATGTGAATGCACACCACGCCATTGACACATAAGCTGTCCTGTATACAGTCCAAGCCACACTAATGTAAAACTGTGACCACAGTATGAAAAGCACACACACATTCCCCGTTCTAATTATCCAAACCGCAGCAGCTTGTTGCCAGAGTGCACAGCTGTTCACCAACAGAAGGAGAAGGCGACACGCGCGGCTCCTGGAAAGCACCCCATGAAAGGTCCCGTTTGTGTACTGAGGTATTAAATATACTTACGTTGTTTCAAACAACGGTCCTTAAGAATATCGCTGTGATTCAGGACTGTTGTCTGAAACTTTTGGACCAGGTGAGGTGTCCATACTGCCGTTCATAGCGATGTAAGGACACGCGCCTCACCGGGGGGTACAGATGGGGCTGAGTGACTCTTCTACTTACTTGGAAGACCCATTGCATCAATGAGCACCCGCCAGGGTGGCAAAACCTTTCCTCCTCTCTCTGGTCATGTGATATGTTCAGAGAGATATGAGTTTTCAAGGATCACCAAATGGTAGGCAGGAGTAGGAGGTAAGCGGACAGATTGGGGTAGGAAGTTCCAGAGGATGGGAGAGACTCTGGGGAATCCTGGAGCTTTATTTCTAAAGCTTCTGCCAGTATCTGCATGGATCCTCTGGGCAAAATATGACGGCAGGTCTTCTTGTATGCCGCCATAGTTGGCTGATGTCTGCCCAGTTGCAAGTCTGGTGGCTAGGAAGTTGGGGTACACCTCTGTGTGTCTAGGTAAGGCCTGCCTACCAATGCCCCCCCTTCCCCCTGCCATGGTGCTGGTATGATGAGTGGGGCAAATGGAAATATAAACAGCGAGAAATAATGAGGAGGCAACAAGGAGCTCCCTGGTCCCTTAGAGGTTCACTTTAAAGACACCCTGCCAATAAGGCATCAGTTCCCTGCAATAGTAGAGGTAGTATTCTGCCCTTTCTTGGGGCATATGTGTCCTACGTCCCCTCCATTCCAGCAACGCAGCCATAGAAATCCAGCATTCAACACTTCTCGGTAGAAAGGATGCCCGTTTCATCTACCACGTGCCATCATCACCTACCACGTGCCATCATCTCCTACGTGCCATTGTCCTTTCTCCAACCATAAGAGGTTTTATAATGCTCCAGGGATGGACTACAATCTCAGGTTCAGTTTACTAATTTGTATTGAGAATGTAGTCCATCCCGGGAGTGAGCTTGGAGCTGTGACTACTTTACAGCACACACAGGGACCATGGGGAACAGACGTAGCCACCCTCCAGAAGGAAGGACAGTGTCAGCACTAATTCAGAGATGATTGGAGGATCTACAGCTGAGTGATACACAAATAAGATACATTTCTGTTCATAGTTTGGGTGCTTGAATGTATTTTTAAGATTTAACTCCTGAATTTAGTGTCACTTTAAATGCAGCTGGTTAGTGTTCATGAGGCCGATCATAAAATGATTTGAATTCATTTACAAACTATTTGTCGGGTCATTACATAGGAGGCCTGGTTCACGCCTTAACGTTTTGTAGCGTGTTCAACGCTCGACGAACGCTCTACAAAATGCTCAAACATCTAAATCCCATTGTATTCCATTGGTCTGGTTTACACCTTGCCGTATTTCCGCCCGTCCGAACGCGATACAAAACGGCCTACGCCCAAAGAAGTACATGTACTTCTTTGGGGCGTATTGGTCTCGTGTTTCCATTGGAATACAGCCAAGTAGCCCTCGGAAACGGGCTTTGTCGCGCGTTTTTTTTTACCGCGAATCACCAAACGCGCATATTCAATACACCTAGGTGTGAACCCAGCCTAACAGTTGTGTATCTAGCTGCTTGTCAGATGTTTGGTGTTTAACAAAGGGTAGCCACCTTTTCTTCAAGCAAAATTCAAACAAACACTCTACAGTAGTGTCATGCTGCATTGTTTTTTGGAAATATATATAGAGAGGCGAAACAGTCGGGAAAGAGAGCGAGGAGAGAGAGAGGAGAAACAGCCAAGAGAGCGAGAGGGAGGAGAGACAGCAAAGAGAGAGAGAGAGGAGAGACAGCCAAGAGAGCGAGATCAAGGAGAGACAGCCAGGAGAGAGAGAGAGGAGAGACAGCCAGGAGAGAGAGAGGAGAGACAGCCGAGAGAGAGAGAGAGAGATCGAGGAGAGACAGCCAGGAGAGAGATCGAGAAGAGAGAGCAAAGAGAAAGAGAGGGGTCGAGGAGAGGCAGCCAGGGGAGAGAGTGAGGAGAGACAGCCAGGAGAAAGTGAGGAGACACAGCCAGGAGAGAATGAGGAGAGACAGCCAGGAGAGTGTGAGGAGAGACAGCCAGGAGAGAGTGAGCAGAGAAAGCCAGGAGAGAGTGAGCAGAGAAAGCCTGGAGAGAGTGAGCAGAGACAGCCAGGAGAGAGTGAGGAGAGACAGCCAGGAGAGAGTGAGGAGAGACAGCCAGGAGAGAGTGAGGAAAGACAGCCAGGAGAGAGTGAGGAAAGACAGCCAGGAGAGAGAGAGAGGAGAGACAGCCAGAAGAGAGAGGAGAGACAGCAAAGAGAGAGGAGAGACAGCCAAGAAAGAGAGAGGGTAGACAGCCAGGTGAGAGAGTGAGAAGAGACAGCCAGAGGAGAGAGAGAGAGCAGAGAGACAGCCAAGAGAGAGAAGAGACAGCCAAGAGAGAGAAAGAGGAGAGACGGCCAGGTGAGGAGAGACTGCAAAGAGAGAGGAGAGACAGTCAGGAGAGAGAGAGGAGAGAATCCCGGACAGATGACAATAGTTTAACACTATAATTCCCTTTTACCAAAATAACTCTTTTTGTTTACATAACATGACAACATGACCATACAGGTTACAGTGAGAAGAGACTAAAAGGAATCAGAGATCACTCCAACCGAATCATCGCAAAGTCCTGTTTACAAAACAAAATCTTCCAGCAAAGCTCCTCCTTGCTTCGCTTTCCCTGCAACAATCCGTGCAAACTTTTCCTAATCGCTCACACGCCACTCCCTGGCCTGACAATCACCTGTGTGACAGGCAGCTCCCTATTCAGAGGACAAAGATCAAAAAGTACAATTGGGTGAAACTCTGGGAGGAGACTTTGCACTGCAGAGGAATGAGATTCTAGCATAGCAAGAGAGAAAGCAAGCAAGCAGCTCACAGGGAGGAGTTAGGCACAGAGACGCGCACACACACAGGCAACCCGTATACACACACAGAAACTCCTGAATGACACACGTGTGTGTGTGTGTGTGTGCAGCACATCACACTCTACAACTGGGCGGCTGAGTCTGGGAGAACAGTTGACACAACACAGCGGTCTGCAGAAGACATGCATGTGGCTGCGGGAGTTTTATCATGTCTACAGTGCAGCAGGTAAGGAACAAGTCTCTGACTATTCACTTATTATTATTATATAGGATTTATATAGCGCCAACAGTTTGCGCAGCGCTGTACAAAATGGAGGGAGCCAGTACAGTTACAGTACAATTTCAATATAGGAGAGTTAGGAGAGCCCTGCTCGTAAGAGCTTACAATCTAGTAGGAGGGAGGACAAGTGATCCCAAAGTTAATCATTGTATGGGACGAGTCACTGAAAGAAGTAAAAGGACAAGGAGGGCTAGGCTTCCCTGACAAGATGCGTTTTCAAGGGTCACCTAAAGGTAGACAGGAGTAGGAGATAAGTGGACAGATTGGGGTAGGAAGTTCCAGAGGATGGGAGACACTATGGGGAATCCATGAGCTTTATTTCTAAAGCTTCCGCCAGTATCTGCATGGGTCCTCTGGGCAAAGGTACATGACCTGACCCTTGCAAGCAGCGATCAATAGTAACATAGTAGGTTAGGTTGAATAAAGACACAGGCCCATCTAGTTCGTGTGTTTGTGTGTGTGTGTGTGTGTATGTATGTATGTATGTATATGTATGTATGTATGTATGTGTATGTACAGGTGAAACTCGAATAATTAGAATATCGTGCAAAAGTAATTGCAGTAAGTGCTGCAAAAGGGGCCCAAACCAAGTACTGAGTACATATGCATGCTTGTACTTTTCAGAGGTCCGATATTGTTCTATGTACAATCCTTGTTTTATTGATTGCATGTAATAATCTACTTTTTTGAGGTTGTGGATTTGGGGTTCTTGGGGTTTTCATGAGCTGAAAGCCATAATCACCACAATGATGACCAATCACGGCTTGAACTATCTTGCTTTGCATGTAATGAGTCTCTCTCATATATTAGTTTCACCTTTTAAGTTGCATTAGTGAAATAAATGAACTTTGCACGATATTCGAATTATTCGAGTTTCACCTGTATATGCTTGGCTCTAGTAGTTCCCATATCCCTGTATATTTAAGGACTCAAGAAACTCATCTAAATGTGAATCCTGAAATAAGAATTATTTGCACTTGTGATCCTTTTTTCTTTTCTCTAAAGGAAAGGGGAAAATAGTAATAGCAGACCTTGCTCCTGCTATGGGGCCCCGGAACCACAGGGGGCCCAAAGCTGTCTTGCTACACAGTTATGTATGCAGTGAGCAATAGAATTTGGCTAAAAGGACTGTTTGTGACATATGGACTTCTGGATTGTCAGCTCCTTGAGGGCAGGGACTGATGTAAATCTGCACTAGGTAAAGCCCTACGTAAATTGTTGGCACTATATAAATACCTGTAATAAATAATGTGTATAAGGAATACATATACTTAAGGAATGTAAATTGTATTTGGGAGACTCAATATAACTGCGGAAAAATGTAGTAGTATTTTATATAAGTAGAAGAACTGCCTTTTGAGATGGATATTGGAGAGTTGAGGGGGCCATTAATGGTTTTGCGATGGGACCGCATTGCACATAGTTATGGCCCTGCCTTACCTACAGCCAGATTGAGGAGAAGATTGTACCAAGTCCCACTGATGGGACGATCAGTTCGACAGCCAAAGGTCTCATCATTTTTGTTGCAACATCTGCTTGTCTGTGATCACCCCCAAAGCTGGTTAGACACATGACGAGCTCCTACCACTTCCCTTCCTCTGGGAATTGCAATTACGATCGCAAGCAACAGCCAACAACTAAGCAAATGACCGCCCGTGCGTTCAACCGACTACCACCTATCAAATTGCAATGTGTATGTTCGGCTCAAGAGTACGCACCCACCATAGTTAATGACGTCTTGGAATTTGTCCGTGGAAATGTCTCCAATTTCAGTTTTGGGCTCCACCAGGGCTATTCACTAAAGGGCGAAGAGTTGGACTTAGTCTTGCTATAATTTTTTGGACTATCTCTAGTATCTAGTTCTGTCTCAGTTCCTGTCCTCTCTCTCGTTCATTTCCTGGACTCTCTCTAACAGGGCTATTCACTAAAGGGTGAAGGATTTGGAGAGAGAGAGGGGATAGACAGCCAGGGGAGAGAGAGGGGATAGACAGCCAGGGGAGAGAGAGGGGATAGACAGGTGAGAGGGCCAGAAGAGACAGCCAGGGGAGAGAGAGGGGATAGACAGGTGAGAGGGCCTGAAGAGACAGCCAGGGGAGAGAGAGGGGATAGACAGGTGAGAGGGCCAGAAGAGACAGCCAGGGGAGAGAGAAGAGAGACAGGTGAGAGGGCAAGAAGAGAGACGGACAGGTGAAAAAGAGAGGAGAGATAAGGGAGAGACAGCCAGGGGAGAGAGAGAGGAGAGACAGACAGCTTCAACTGGCCCAAACCCAGACACAGCACATTCAGGACTTAAAACCAGAACTGTTCATGTGAAAGAAGGAAGGAAGAAATTCTCCAATTCGGCCCACTTTCCAGTCCAGCGATATTGTCCTCGATTGTGCACTTCTCCTGCCTTCTCCATACCCTTCACCCTCTTGTGAATAACCCTGCAGGTATTTTTTATTTTATTTTTTGGGAGTTGAAAATCTAAAAATGAGGAGTATCAGAATTTCAAAATGCATAAACATTTTTATATTCTGCAATGTAATGGCTTGTCATTTTGGGCTTGGCTATAATGTTATGAGGTTCTTTATGACGGCGTGGAGGAAGCCAAATCTAGTGACTCAGCAGCAAAACGTCCTTGGAAATGATTTCAAAGTGGCCTAAGCTCCCCTACTGAACCATAATAAGATTATTCGTTTTTTTCCTTCACTTATAGATCTTTTACTCTGTTGAAATGTCTTTTAAAGGATCAAAAACGCATGTTAACATTTTGGTAACGGGGGTATTTTCTATCTATGAGCGGTCCCAGCCGGACTTTGTTTTTTATACATTGGTTTTGTGGAGGCGGCTATAGCGTGCTGGATCACCACATAGAAATTTGTCTTTCTCCCCCTTTATGGTAAACTGGCGCAGACCCGTCTCCATTCATCAGGCAATTTCCTGAAACATCTCTGTGTGCATAACCCAGCTTGTCAGCACTTGTTATCTTTCAGGAATTAACTGTTACAAGATCAGTTAAGTATTGGATGTGTGCGGGCCGTCTTAGACGGTTTACTTTTGTGAATTTTGTTTTACCAAGTGTTAACAAAAAAATTCACATATTAAATATTTGTGGCCTCAACTAACGTACATGTCCTTCTTCTGATTTCCACCAGCTGTGAATCCTACATTCCCTCCTTCTCTGTTTACTGGATATAGGATGACCAGATTACATTTGTTGTACAGATTAAAGAAAACCTGTCCGTTTCTTTAATCTGCTTGTTAGACATGTGCGATTCGTTTAGGAAATTCAGAGATTCGGATGTATCTGAATTTCGAATTACAGCTCTAACGAATGTAAACGATCAGAATTTCCTATTCCGAAATTCGTTAGCGGTAGTCTGTACGAAATATTGTTTGTTGGACGAAATTGTCTATTGCTTGTCCTCTCCGTTTCAAAATGCTATTTGCGTGTCTGTCATCCTGACTCTATAGCTCTAATGCTGGGCACACAACTGTGCCGCCGCCGAGGGGCGGGCTTCCGATGACCGCAATGCTAAACGGGCAGTGTGTGCGCATTTCGAACATGTTCATAAGATAAAAGTCGTGCAACCTTACAGGAGAAGTCGCATGCCTTCCACACACCTTGCGATAATCGTACGATCGGGATTTTCTTGTGATTATCGCAAGGTGTGTGGGCACCTTTTATACTTAGAAAACCAACCCAGAAGACAAACTCGGGTAGGGACTTCTGACTTTCCTGATCCTTATAAAAGTGGCTATACACCTTACAACCATTGTAAACCTTTTTTTGTCCAGACATCGCACGCTCGTTCAATTTTCGTTCAAGCAGCCCATCATGCACAGACCAATGTAGTTCGCGATTATTGTTCGTCAGCACCACTAACTGGCCGAGTTTGAGCATGTGCAGTTTTCATCTTGAGATTTTTGTTGCAGGAAAATGCCACTAATCCGTCAATTTTCATCCTACTAGACGAAACCTTTCTAGCCTGCTTGAAAGATGAAAATCTGCCAGTTGTACAGTAATTGCGGTTGTGCACTTCGGCAGATAATTGTAAGGTGTATGGGCACCTTCACTGTTCCAGGTCAGTTACTCAGAAATTACTGAATCCATTGGATCTGAGCAGCCAGGCAATTAACATTTATAGAAGGTCAGCAATGGCAGCCCCCATACACATCTTAGTAAAGTGTGGAGTGTGCATGAAAAAAAGAGATACAATCTCAACATTCTTTAATCTATATGGATGGCTCCACCCCATAAAATGTGAGACAGGAATTGTCCTTCCATGCATTGATGCCAATGGACAGGCCATGTTTTCCTAGTTGTATGTCCAGTTTCAGGATCTATAGCAATTATCAGATGTTGATCTGATACCGAGCATGCTGTCAGACACAAAAATCTTTCAGCTTACTGGAGAATTTCTTTCATGGTATGGTATGTGAGATAAAAATGGTATCGGAGAGGCATGAGTCACCCTTTGACTTCTTGTACCCCTAAGAGCCTCCAGCAGCAAGATCGTCCATAGTATCTGGTTCTTTTCCTGCCCGCCTTGGAGTTTTTAGTGTTTCTGCCCACTTTGGAGTCCTTAGTATTTCCATACACTTTGGAGTTTTAGAGTTCCCGTCCACATTGGAGTTCCTAGTGTTCCCGTCCACATTGGAGTTCCTAGTGTTCCCGTCCACTCTGGAGTTCCTAGTGTTCCCGTCCACTCTGGAGTTCCTAGTGTTCCCGTCCACTCTGGAGTTCCTAGTGTTCCCGTCCACTCTGGAGTTCCTAGTGTTCCCGTCCACTCTGGAGTTCCTAGTG